CACAGAACGAATTCCAAAGAGCTATGCTTCCAAAGTTTAAATGATTTTATTATTTGAATGAAACAGCTGGTCAATGCAATGAACAGGCGTTTGATTTTTACACATAGTGGAAATGTTTGAGTTATTTTAAGAAGAAGGTTATGTTTAGTTAAAGAAAGGTGGTGAGAATTGTGTAGAATGTTGCTCAAAGTTTTCTTGTATAGTATAGTCAGCTACAGATAAAAGGGCTTGACTAAAATGTAAGCATTAAGGTAACATTTTTTCATTAAGCATGTTATTGCTACACTAAGGTATGTGTATAGAATATTTTGGATCTATGGCATCAATAAGGGTTTTGAAAGTAAGTATACACTTTTAAATAAGTTAATCTTTTAAAACTTACATAGAGTTATAATATTTTTAACACATCGTTGCCACTTAAACACTGTATTGTTGCCTAGGAAATTTAAACCCCTTATTAAAAGAAAATAATTTTACTCCACCAAGAGGTTAAACTAACTTTTAATTCATAAGTGGATAATAAACGTGTAATCATTCTACAGTATACATCAGATCGAAAGAACGGTATTATTTTCTTCTGTATTCTCTTCCCGTTACGAAGCACGGGTATAGCAGCTCGTTTTTGTTTGGACCTAGTATTACTCATTGGTTGTTGGTAGTCTGATACGTTCAATGACAAAAAACGTTGCTCTAACGCCATAAAGCTGTTGAACGCTGCAGTTATTAGTATGAGAATCGGTGAGAGTTGGAAGTCTGCATTACGGCGTCGTGCGTTCTTCAACGACGTTGACAGTTACACAGACTAAGCTGAATATATTACCTCACCTACATTTCTGCCTACTGAATGTTTTACGATTCGAATCAGCTTGGTGGACCTGCCAACTAAAGGAAATTAACTATAAACTCTTTACTACGGTGGTTAGGTCCACCAGGTTAATACTTAGCCTAAAAGGTTTAACCCTATTATAAGTATATTTTTGTTACATTTTGAGGTTAAACATTACTGATAATTTAAGACAGTCTATAATATTACATGATCTCAAGGCAAGACAAAGTAAGAATTTTCATTGAGGTATAAATTAAATTAAAGTTGGCATTTGAATAAGGAAAAAATTGGATCCAACCAATGAAGTATTAAATGGCTCATAAATTATATACTTGCATCATTGAAACATAACCGACACACCTGCGTCACATTTTCCGGGGAATTTTTGTACAACGTCTACTATGACATAATAAAACATTAAACATTGCTGCAAATCTCAGTAGAGATACCTCCATCACTTAGACAGGCTACTTGTCACGTCTCTATCACATCCCTCAGGGAAATATCAGTGCAACGTAGATAAGTCTAAAAGGAAGAAAGATAGTAGAAAGTAGAACGATCTAAGTGATGGAGATATCTCTACTGAGATCCACAGCAATGTCCAATGTCTGATTATGTCACAGTACACGTTGCACTGATATTCCCTGAGGGATGTGATATAGACGTGACAAGTAGAAAGATCTAAGTGATGGAGATATCTCTACTGAGATCCGCAGCAATGTCCAATATCTGATTATGTCACAGTACACGTTGCACTGATATTCCCTGAGGGATGTGATACAGACGTGACAATCAGATTGTCTAAAAGTGATGGAGATATCTCTACAGATAGAGCAATGACCAATGTCTGATTATGTCTTGGACAGTCTATGTACTTGTCACGTCTGTATCACATCCCTCGGAGAATATCAGTGCAACGTCTTCTATGACATAATTAGACATTGGACTAGTTGCAGATCAGATAACCTTATCTATTTGACTGACTTTGGTCGGGTATTTACTGTCTTTATATCTATTTACTGTTCTCGGGTATTCTTTGCAGCGTGTTCTTTGGTATAGTCTTACATTGTGGATTTCCACCCTACATTCTAATTTTGTCTCACATAATCAGTCTTGTCATACAATAATTCTTAGTTAACTTTAACTTTAACTTAATTTTGTTATCACTATTTTAATTAAACATATATTGATTCTTAACCATCCTAATTTATTTGTTATCTAGTTGAACATATTACGAGTTTAATAGCATGTTTAATCCTACAACACAACATTTTCTGTTTCTTGCTTGAAATAGTTATTTGTGTAACTAGAGTGCGAATTGGCACTTTGCTGCACATGAGAGAGCGGCGAGTGTGGAAATTTTCTCGAGTGCAGCAAAGGCTCTGTGCACTCGCGTTACACATTAAATTTTTCCTTCAGTTACTATAATTAGTCTTTCAGACACTATACAACTCGTTTTTTTTTTTTTTGTTATGTTAAATACAAGCGTTGGACGAAATATGAAACGCAGCACCACGCTGCACCGCGCTGATCGTAGTCGTAGTATCTTTAGTGTTGCCAACTTATTTCCAAACGTACTCGTATTACATGCTAAATAAAAGCACACTGTTTTGTGTTGTTTAGTTGATATATTGGATTGCAAAAAAAGTGTGGGAAAAGAAAATGAGTGCGGGAAAAGTGAGTAAATGCAGCAGTTAGCTACTTTTCGTGCAAGCTAATAATCAATGATCAAGCGATGATCAAGTACAGTTCAATTCAGGTTCAAGTCATCAACAATCTAAATTACTGACTGTTCACAGGATAGATCCGGGAACCACGAGGCACAATGATCGTTGAAATATCGTACGAATTGTAGCTCGAGCACTTAGCTAAAATTTGTTTTAAATAAATAGTGGTCTGAAGAACGAGTATTTCCAAACGCCGACAAGCGAGAAACGTTAAACGGAAGTAATTTATCTGCCTCTCAACATTTTAATGAGTTTTTACTCAGTTTTCTCATAATTTATCCCTGCCTTAATTTTGTTGTTAAAACGTGAAAACGACTTACTACTAATTTTTGGCTGGTTAATTTTTAGCATAAAGTCAAATTTACATTACAGCATAAATATTCAGCATTATAAAAAAGTCAAAAAGCTAAGCAATTTGTATCACACGAAATGTTTTAGTCTATTTGACAAACAAGTGTCAATAAGCACGGTCAGATTTAGTAAGTTCGCATTAGATTTTCTGTATCTACGAAAAAATCCAATACAATATGCACAAATAAACACCACGTAAAATAAATAAAATATAACGATTTCAGTACTGTTTATTTTGTGTTTTCTACGCTAAAAGATTTTTTACGTTTTGAAAGGGATCTGTCCAAACCCTGGTCTTGTTACTATCTAACATCGACCTCACACACCCAGACAATTTTGGCACATACATTACACATGTTGACATCTGTTGCACTATAATGTATACAAGGTCAAAAAGTGAAATTAGTTCTTGGTTGCTTACGTCATTTAGGTGCCCCCCCCCCCACCCTTTGGCCAATTTTTCCTCTACCTTTTCCTTTTGCGACATAATTGATTCCAGGGAATACTAGTTGAATTTCAAGAACACTCAATGGGGATTTCCAAAGAAATTTGTTTTATCAAAATAATATTTATGAAATATTTCACTATGCAAGTTCTAAACTTATTTCAGAATTGTTCACTTTTGTATATCATAAAGGTTTGTTTCATAACCATCATTGAACTAGAATATAAGTATTTATTAAGTAGACTCCTACCATTGACTATTGGATACAGAAGTTGTTGTATTAATAGTCAAAGCTCCTACACTATTAATCACAAGTATGAAATATATATTTAGGTAGGGAATTTTTTTATGTTTATTGCAGGAGAATAGTACGTTTAGATTTTGACCATTGTGTAATGCAATGTCTTGAATTATAAAAATCCCCCCTTTACATTATAAATCAAATTACAATGGTACAGTATAACAAGTTCGTATTTTTAAATCCCTGGTGCAAAAAAAAACCTAATTAAATTAATACTGAATTATTTAAGTTCAGTTCTGGCTGGACTTAGCAAACTCTAATTCATACCAAAATGTATTTAAAATTTAGTATAATTCAATACACCGAATAACCCTTTATTTATACATCCCTGAATTCCAAAAAGCAAATACCGATTATTTATCATCCATTTATTTATTTTTCCTCGTCAAATGACCTGGTCAACTATCGCTAAATGTTGTGTGTTTCCTTATCTATTATGTGTGTACTTAATGAACTATCTGTAGATGCTTTTCCTAATCGGTTTGTTGTTCAATGTACGTTCGACTGGATTCATAGGTCGAAACTAATTACGGAATAAAATCACCAGTTCGGCATTGATTCTTCAGTTTTCCATCAGAATGGAAATTATTATGAATACTCGTACTTATAGTACTCAAATCATACTACAATCAACTGAGTTTGTAATTAATCGCATTCTCAATTATTTTGTCTGTCCCAAAAACATGGGAAATGTGGTTTGGATCAATTTATTAAGCTTAAACCCCAAACCCTACCAAATACAAATATAACTGATATAATATTCAATAATATTTGTTGTAACGAATTTTCCCCTCGCTTTGAATATTGCTGATTCAATCCCAAGTGCAACACACTCGATTTTTGACTCATATATTTTACAACTCAGTACAAATTAATTATTCCATTTAAAAAGGTAGACCCTACTGGTACTCTAGCCCATGGCTTGGACCGTTCCCATAAACATCATTACGAACAAATCCGTTGAACACCAAAATCCAACCAGACGTTGAGTTAAACATTTTCCTTAACTGTAATGAACAAGTTCTACTAATGGTGACCTCCACAACCGGTCTGCATATTCAAATGTTTATCATTAGGAAAACACCGGGGAAACCAGTTGGAGGAAGAGCCCAGACTAGCAGACGGTGACGTCACTGCAACGTCTTGACGTATCTTATCTCGGACTTGTTGCTTTCACGAGATCATGTCCAGTCAGTGTTTTCCTCCCAGTAGCGATGCGGATAGTTGCAGCGATTCTAGTGCTTGTAGCAGTCTCACCAGGGTGGGGACAACGTGTAGAGCTCAGGGAAGGTGAGTGGTAGCCGAGCTTGGCTCATAGAATGTCCAGTCAGTATTTTCCTCTCAGTGGCAATGAGGATAGTTGTAGTGATTCTAGTCCTAGTGGCAGTCTCGTCAGTGTGGGGACAACGTGTAGAGCTCAGGGAAGGTGAGTGGTGGCCGAGCTTGGCTCATATAATGTCCCATCAGTGTTTTCCTCTCAGTGGCGATGAGGATAGTTGTAGTGATTCTAGTCCTAGTAGCAGTCTCGCCAGGGTGGGGACAACGTGTAGAGCTTGGGGAAGGTGAGTGGTGGCCGATCTTGGCTCATATAATGTCCAGCCAGTGTTTTCCTCCCAGTGACGATGCAGATAGTTGTAGTGATTCTAGTCTTTGTAGCAGTCTCATCATTGTGGGGACAACGGATATAGCTCAGGGAAGGTGAGTGGTGGCCGAGCTTGGCTCATATAATGTCCATTCAGTGTTTTACTCTCAGTGGTGATGCGGATAGTTGTAGTGATTCTAGTTATAGCAGTCTCATCATTGTGGGGACACGGATAGAGCTCAGGGAAGGTGAGTGGTGGCCAAGCTTGGTTCATATAAAGTACAGACAGTGTTTTCCTCTCAGTGGTGATGCGGATAGTTGTAGTGATTCTAGTTATAGCAGTCTCATCATTGTGGGGACAACGGATAGAGCTCAGGGAAGGTGAGTGGTGGCCAAGCTTGGTTCATATAAAGTACAGACAGTGTTTTCCTCTCAGTGGTGATGCGGATAGTTGTAGTGATTCTAGTTATAGTAGTCTCATCAGTTTGCACAGTCCACATCGCATACTTTGCACAGTTCCATTGGCATTAGTCCTACATTATGATTTAACAATAATGACTTGATTACAATAAGTTTCTTCTTCAAAGATTTGAAGCATAGATTCTGCACCAGCTTGACATTTTTTTGTTCGACTAATTAATGCCGGGTTCCAACAGCTGGCTGATGTTTAAAGTAATAACGTAGCCTAAGGATTATGCCATGATCTCTTGTCCAAGGTTGTTGAAAAAAATGAAAGGAATTCTAATTAAGTATTTATCTTCTTACTCTACCTTAGTATTTTCTTTTAAAATTTAAAAATCTTTGTTTTGAAAAAAAATATTTTTCCTCATAGGAGATGCTTGCAAGCGCGTGTCCGGTGTGGAATGGACATGCCGCAAGTCGTCGGATTGCCCCAAAGCTGCAGAGCTTATGAGGAGAGGGAAGGCTCCTGAAGTCTGCAGAACATCTGGAGGTGTCACCATCGTCTGTTGCGAGCCCCCCGAAGAGATTGAGGATAAACGTGAGTTTCTAATATACGAATTGTTGATCTCCAACAGTTAATGGTAAGCTATACACGATGTCTAGCAGTGTGGGCAGCAGTGGGGGCCCTCCCTGGACCCACTGTGATCATTCTTTTTCCTTTGGCTGCATGGGGGAAGGAGGGGGATCTTGTGGAGCTCAGCATCCACAGAAACCTCAATAACGCGCCAAAAGTTATAATTAGGTTTGAGTTTGAAAAGTTTGAGCCATTGACCAATCGAAGAACAATCCCAGAATAAAATCATAGTGTTTTATTCATATTTTTAAAGCATAGATGAAGTAATATAATGCTTAAAGTGTTTTGTTACTATATGTCTGTGAACTAACTAAACCCCATTTTTTAGTTGGAAACCAAGATGAACAACCAGACGGAATAGAACCAGGAACCAAATATCCAATTGAAGAAGGTAAGTCCCTACTACCATTGACTTTTATATAGGTACTGAGCTTCCCATCTATATGACTAAATGTAGAACAAAATGGCTGTAGTTGATGTGAGCCACTGACAGATTGCGCTGGTGTAGATTACTGATTTCTGTCACATTTGTGGACTTTTAAACCAAGTCAAACTGATAAGGTGTTGTAAGCTGTAGAATGTTTTTTTTCCTACAGTTACCTAACAATGTACATGTTCTCTCACTGATTTGGGAAAGCAAAGTGGCCAATTCGCTCATCAGTGCTAATTACTTTGTCTCACTCATTCAAGATTTGCAACGTGAATGCACGAAATAGTGAGCACGTAACATGCAGACAAGGTCGTATGCGCGCGAAACACGTTGGCAGCACTGGCTGTAAATCAGCTGGTCGGCTGTTGTACTGTTGTGTTATTAAATGTAATATCACTTCTGTGTAAAAATATGTCACGTTTCTTTGCCAATTTAATTGTTTTATGGTAACTGTAGGAAAAATATAATGTGCAACTCGAGTGCTAAGTGCAATTGCCTCACTCGATAAACCATTCATCACTCGCGTACGGCTCGTGAGTAAGTATTTCTCTTCAGTGAGCCAATTGCTCCCTTTGCTCACGAGTTGGACAAATAACTATTTCTACCATCTCAGTAACAAAAAATAATGTAGAAATAAAATTTTAGACACTATTATGTGGCTGGCTCAAGTAAACTATGATAAAAATCGTTGCTAACTTTGACATAGAGAGGGAATGTCTAGCTCTATCGATAGACAACTCCGTTGATAGTAGTCTTGGAGCTACTACCAAAACTGCACTAGAATTGTTTGGTAAATATTCTATACAGTTTGTACTGTACGATTGTAATATGCTTTAGTAACTTATGTATCAATTGTATCTTGCAGTTTAGAGCTGTAGAAATAAAAAAAAATTGAAAATAAAGGTTATGGCTTGACCGCAAATCCTAACATATATGTTACATACTGTAACGGTTATTGTCTTGTCGCAGGTTTGATCTGCAAGCGTGTGGAAGGGAAGCCATGGGTATGTACCAAGCTCAGACGTTGCCCTTCTGCGATGGCTCTAATAAGCAAAGGCAAGGAACCCGAATACTGCAGGTCAGTATTTGGGATATGCATCATTTTTCCTATATTGTATACATCTTTGCCGTTTAACGAACTAACTTACAAGCCCAATTAATACTAAAACCAATTGATGAAGAGATTGTGGAACTATATTTATGAATATTACTCAAAATTACGTGAATGTGTGTTCGATTTAAACAAGTATATTGCCGTAGGAACAGACTCCAATGTGTTTTATTTTACAGACACACTATATTCACTCTTATATTACCCTCATCCCAGAGCATCGTGTTATGGTTGCTAAATCGATAGACATTTTATGGCCTTAGATGATAGTATACATTCATAAATTTAAAATTACATTTGAGCATTCTTTTTTAACAACTTCCCATACATTAGGAAACACAATTTCAGGCAATTTGGCAGTTTTTGCTCTTTCACCATTCATGAAAACTATAATTGTGACTTTATTAGGAAGTTTTTAATGTAATGGTTAAGGGAAGAGTTTTGTATTGTAAAGCTATCGGATAAACAATTAATAACAATATGCCGCGTTTTAATTTATATTTAAAACCTCATATTTTCTAAGCAGACAACCTGTAAAATTGAATATCTTCAGAATGGTTACTAAAATGGAATAGCTCTTTTCAGCTTAGTGCTCATTTTATACAAGTAAAAAACAACATGTATACAAAGGATAAAACCCCCTAAAACAATTACAGTGGAATTAAAAGAATTAAAACTACTTTTTATAACATTTTGATGAATTAAAGGAGGAGAGGAAATTTTACAGTTAAATAATTATCAAATGTAATTGTTCTGATAGATTTACATTCCGTTCAATTTTAAATTAGCAAGGCAAGATTTTTGTTTATTAGTTAAATAATGAGTAAACCCAATTTATTTAGACCTACCCGAAATTGGGGCTTTAAAACATAGTAAAAGATCACGAAGAGAATGATTAACAATGAAAGAGGATAGAACCGACAAAGCAATGCCAAAGACTGTGGCACAGACTATAGATATTAGATGCAGACGGTCAGCTGTATCTGCGCTAGGCGCTGTTTCATGATGCGGCTGTATTGCCGCGCCACTGTAGCGGAAGACGTGGAGCGGTTTCCTCCTCAAGTGGCGCCGTGGGATTCTTTTTGAATTTGAATGAACGCGCTTTAAATGAGATATTTTTAAAAACTATTTAAGATATCTTTATGAAACTTGGTATACAGTTTTGTCAAGTCATAATGTATATAAGAAATAATAATCATTAAAAAATATGTTTCTATTGATTTTAAAATAATAAAAAATAGGTTTACTCGATAGTCTGTGGCCGTGGCTTCTAGAAGCGTCCACAGCTGGTTTCTTATTGGTCCTTGCCTTATCGTTACATGTACTCTGGTCAAATCTGACTAAACATGTCAAAGTATTGTCAATGTGGTAAAACAAGTATGTTTAAACTGTTGTACAGACCCAGTGGCAAGAACAAGGTAGTATGTTGCGACCAAGGTTTCGGACTGGTGACTGAGCCTTCCTTCCCGTTGCCCGACGATACCTCGCCGCCTCCTGAACCAGCTACACCTGTACCTAAGCCTTCGCCCGGCTTCAAGAGTAGACAAAGTGAGTACAAGTCAATTATACAGGGTCTCCGAAAAGGAATGCCGGGTTTTCTAATGGCCGTTGCTTGGGGGCTGTTACAGATAATTAAATGATTTGAACGTCAAATTGAAGAGATGAGCTTTTTTCATGCCGTTTGCTCACGACTTTGGTCATATCACTTGGTAATACATTAATCCAAACCATACGTATGCCAAGGTCAACGTACCTCCCGTGCTACACAAAAAATAGTTATTTCTACTCGAATTTGACGTTCGAATGGTTTAGTTATCTTGAATAGTCCCCAAGCAATGACCTTTTCAACTTCCGGCAATTCTTAGGATACCCTTTAATGTATAAATCTGAAAGATCCTGTTTAATCCAAGTTCGAAGGGTTTTCCATGATAAGTATCTCTCTCTATGTATTTGATCGTCGTCAGGCTTGTATGACATTTTAAGGGAGGAATTCAAACCGTTTATCTAATGCACCTTCAAAGCGGTGGGGCACACGGAAGATTTCTCAGGTGCCGTTTGACGCTGGTTTGACGTCACTAACTGCTGACGTCACTAACTGCTGCGTCTGAAGAAACAGACAATTTTATAATTTTCTATTATTAAATTAAACTGTCATAACCTAACCAAACTAACCAAACGTGCTGATAATGGAAAAATCGAATAAAGGTTTCCTAATCTAAAAAAATAGTTTTGTTCATAAAATAAAATTCTAATTGCCTAAAATTCAATTTTATAATTTTTTTATTATAAAATTAAACTGTCATAACCTAACCAAACCAACCAAACTTGCTGATGTGAAAAAATTGTTGATAAAAAGTTAGTGCTGCCGGCGGGATTCGAACCCGGAACATTCGGATTTTCAGCCCGCAACGCTATCCACTGCACCACCGAGGCCGATGGTTCATAACTGTATCGTTGCGGTATTGGTGTTCCCTCAAAGTGATGTCAGCAGTTGGTGACGTCAAACGGCACCTGAGAAATCTTCCGTGTGCCGTTTCGCCTTCAAAGTACATCTAAGAATTGTTTTCTCATTTCACTTACATAAAACTAGTGGCTTGTAGGGACATAAGTCCCTAAAAAGCTCAAATGTAAAACAACTTTTTGCAATACCGGTATTTAAACAAACTCAGAATAACATTATCTATGTGTCAGAATAGGCATCCCTACACCATATATTTTGTGTAAAAACCAGTTTGTTGTTCTTCTTTGTTTGCTTTTGTTGATGTCATTTTCAATAAATAATTTGAATCACTCCAGTGGTTTAACATGAAAAGGCAGCAAACATATCATTGTTTGTGAATAAATACTGGTTTACTAAGGTAGCTTTGGTCTTGTGGTTAATGAGAATAAATAAAAGCTTCCCTGTTTGGAATTTAAAAATTCATTGGAGGTTCGCCTTCAGATTAATTGAAGACGCCTGCAATTTCATCTGCAGTAGGCTTATTATACCTACGACGATCCATATTTATCCTGTCTACAAACCTAAGTTCTAATTCACTGTCACCTTGTACAACCATTTCTTCCGAAGCTCTTTTGTAAATTTGTGCAAATGGATTTTCTAATAGAATTTCAGCTAGTTTTGACAATATTTCAGGTTTTAAGTCACTATTTTCTAGACGCCTTTGACGAATTTCTGTTGCTGTTGATGTGTCAATAATGTACAATTGGCCATACACGGGGTCTTCATCATGTTGAGGCAGCAAATCTGAGATTGAACGATAAATCTGTCCTTGAATTTTGAAACAGTATAGTCCTTTTCCTGGAATATCTTACTGGCTGAAAAATAAGCAAAAGCCATCGCACTGTTGCATTGTCGAATGAATTTATACAGTTGTGGGCTCTCTTCAAACAAACTTAGTTCTACATTAGTTTTTGACTGAGCAAGGTTAATAAGTCCGTTATGGCAACATGTCATAAAATGATTATTCGTTAGTTCTTCTCTAAAATGAAGAGCACTACATTGAATGCACTCTTGGTCCAGTAATCCTGCATCATGGATCTTTACATTTCTCTCGTCTACCATGGGTCTCCTAAAAAGGGGTTGTAACATATCTTGATTAAGTTCGTCATTATCTACTCTTGCTCTCCTACGCGCACTGTCATTCCTATGAACAGTTCCCCGCCTTTGTGGTATTCCCCTGGCGTTCATATTAATTACAGTACTTATAATGAAAAGAATATATATCCAGCAGCCTACATACCAAAACATCTTGAATCCCTGGTGATTTTATAAAAGTATGATCGAATATGATTACTCTACGTTGTATATTCACTGCACTAAAAAAATTTACTTACGAAGGAATGCAAATACACCATTTTAGAACCAATAACATTTATAGGTTATTTTAGTTGTATATATTTACACAACCTTAACCTTAAAATGTGTAGAAATATAAAGAAACAACATCATTGAAAATAAACTTGAACATATGATTTAACAATAAATACCCCCGCCGCAGCAAACCTGCAGACTAAGCGAATTTCCATTTGACTGGTTTGATTTACACTAAAATGTCTACTTACAAATATAATATTTATTCCCAATTTCAATAGAATTAGTTTGACAAGTACTTAGGTTTGCTGCATCAGGGAGGGTAAAACTGTTTTTTTTTTTTTTGTAAAATGTTAATAGTAAGTAAGAAATAAAAACATTTTCCAAATTTTATCAAAATATGTTCATAAACAAGCAAACTACAACAGTTTACTTATTCTCCATAAGAATAACATGGGAATTTTAAATTCACAATTTTTTGGAATTTTCTCCGTAACCATTAGGCGCATAATAACGCTTCAATATACTAAATTATTTGTTTTTTTAAGCTCTACAAAATGGTTTGGAAAGAAATTGCTAAATTTTATGTTTTTTAGGTCAAAAATGGGAAAACCCTATTTTTACCCCATAAAACCCCCCGTAAACCCCCGTTCCCATGGTCCGATCATGCTGGATCGCGAACTCGTTCGAATAAACGTAGGTTTACACGTTTATACCAAATTTCATCAAAATCGGATCATTTTTGCTCGAGTTATCGTGCTAACGGACACACACATATATATATATATATATATATAAATATATATATATAAATATATATATATATATATATATATGAATTTGAACGGATGGTGTTTTTGGCCTCTAGGGACCTCAAAACGAAAAAAAAAATCGGTCCCGCGTCCAGGTCTTACCATGAGTACTACGGTAATAGCTTATTCCCTATATGGGAAATTCGCTAAAACAAAACAGAAGTTAGATTTAATTTCGACTCTTTGATTATTTATACAGAATATTTATTCTATGTCGTTTATTCCTTTAACACGACAATAACGTAAAAGCATGAAAAAATGAAACTTGAGTATATGATTTAAGTATAAACAAAGAATGCAGACGTTTTTCCGACTAATCTTCAATATTTCAGTTTTATTATAGTATACATTTCATAGTTGACTGGCTAAAAGTAAACCAAATGCGTGTATTGATCACTGTTTTCAAATCTGTGGCACAGCTGTTTTAATTTCAAAATATGTAAACAAATTAAACCCCATGTTGTTTTAATGGGAAAAGTTTTATTCTGTTGCGAATTTATGGTAAAAAAATAAGAAAAATGAATAGTTTTCCCTCAAAATTTACGTCATGACCTTTAAAATAAGACCCCTCCCATCCTTCTATGGCCATCCAGTCACTCACAATTTCTTTACAAAAATCTGACTTACGGAATTATATATATAGATAAGAAAAAACTTTACGTAACGATCCTCTCTATCGTATTTCATATAATGTCTGCATCTAATATTTTAAGTGACATTAAAGTGACCTCGATAGCAGATGCATTGACAAATATGGCATGCTATCAAGGTTGACTTGTATGGAGCGTTTTGATATTGAGGTTCTACTATATTATTTACAGTAGGTACCTTAAAATGAAACCCTTCAACTCTTGCCTTGTTGCGAAGCACGTTGTAGTGTTTTTTTCTTTTATTTCACGTTTAAAAGTAAAGATTTTTCTGTTTTCCTTTATTCATTCAACTATTATGAATTTCTTTGGATTTTTAAACCTGGTTTACCCTATTTGTAAATATGTAACCTAATAGTTGAAAATAATTGTAAATAGTATCTGTTTTAAGCTTTGAAGGACTTAGTATTGTGATATTAGGCTCGAGTCCTAACTTAAAGCACGGACAAAACTATTAATGATAAAATATAAATCTATTAAATTTATTTCTAAGGTGGATTGTTTTTTTTTTTCAGTGTGTCAGAGATATTCAACTATTGTCAACGAAGATCAGTGTACGAGCACAGAACCACAGATAGTGAACGGGGCCAAAGCTCGTCCTAAGGAGTTCCCACATATGGTAAGCTCCCTTTATAACCAACATGGTGTACAATGGCCTATAACAACACTACACCACATGCATTACACTTTGTGTATGTGGTAATCACTAAAAACCATTATGGCTAAGGAATGGAATCAAGTTAAGTTTGGATCAAGAAGAGTTTATTCTATTAAAATCACTATATCAGTTGCAACGCCATCCAAAAACGTATAGAACGTTGAAAGCATTCATAGTTCAAAAATGGTTTAAGTGGGGGAACTGAATATATATTATTATGTAATAAGATTACACAACACACATTCTGTGACCCACGTTTTTATAAGTGAAGTGAAGTGGTGGTAGGTTAGTTGCGCCTCTAATGATCCTAGGGCCATAAATAGGGAGGTTAATTGCGCCTTGGAATCTGGCAAGGTAGATTAGTTGCGCTTCTATGTTGACAAAGGTGCGTAATGAGCTTCACTAAAACCCGGCCTAGAATGAATATTGAACATATTGAAGTTAAATCGCCAAAGATTCATTTTACGCTTGTATGGAACACCTAGTTCTATTCAGAACAAAGTACTTTTCAAATCTTGTATACGTTTTTGATTTTTGCAAGCTTATCAGTATTTCGCAATTACAATACAATTAATGTTCACTTACCCAGGTGGAAAGGTTGTTACTAATCAACCTTGGCAACTAATCAGCTGACAACCTTGCTTGCTGAACCATCCGAGATAGGACGGGGTTGATCATACAATCTGTATTGCAAACATAGTGAGGGTAATAACTAATAACTAATCTGGTAGGTCCGTTGTCACACCTACTGAAAGTGTGTCAATCACGATACCCCCTAGTTTAAGAAGGGTTTTCCATAAAAAATAATGATAATACAGTTTTAATATTTGCAGGCTCTGCTCGGGTCCGGCAAGAGAACGAATCCTAACTGCGGGGGAAGCTTGATAAGCGACCGGTGGATACTGAGCGCCGCCCACTGTACGACGGGCGATGCAGACAACGCTGGGTCAGTATAACCATTGATAAAACATACTCCCTTTAGTCTATGGTATAACCTGAAAGATTAAAAAAGCTGGATAAATACCTATGTTTAATTACTATCACAGCTAAGGGGCTAAAAATGGATTTTAATAAAATTGTGTTCAACTGATCCTTAAGGACCGGATATCTACTTAGGGAGTATGTTTTATCTATGCTAGAACATAAACATTGATTTTTTTGTGTTTATGTTAGTTTTACCGGACTTCAATTGGCATAATTTAACGAAGATATAATTTATCTTATTCTGGACAACCTTAACAAGGAAATCCTCATACCTAACATAGAATATTTACAAAAAAATAAATCACCTAGAGACAGACGAACAGAAAAATACTGTCGCTGTAAATTTAATTAGTCACATACCTATACCAATGTTTATTTTTTACATTTTCAGACCGGTCTGGGCTAGACTCGGGGATTATGACTTCTCGTCCACTGACGACGAAGACAGGCTGGACGCAAGGTCCGTCGTATATAATATCATAGAACGGGTGAACCACCCTGAGTACGAACCAAGAGACAGGAAATACTACAACGACATCGCACTGTATAAACTGGACAGACCGGTGGAGTTCGACCAGTACATCAGACCGATTTGTCTACACACGGGAGGCGAGTACGAATTGACAAGAAAAAGGCTACTCATCGCTGGTTGGGGGAAGGATGATCACGGTAAGAAGAGTCAGAAGCACAGAATAAAGACCTCTCTGAACATAAAAGGTTTCGTTTGCATCTGCAAGTGTCTTCACATCTAGGAACCTAGGATCACGGCTTCGCTGGCTTTCGGGTTAGGTCAGGCATGGTGTCGGTAGGAGGCAAAAATTACTTCACTAAACCTTTGCTATCAGCTGACCATTTACAAGTGAAATTTTCACTTAAAAACAGTGACAGCGCTTCAAGATACTCGTGAAGACACCAGCATATTCAAGTACAACTTTTTTGCTTTGAGTTCTAAGTCAGGTCTTTATTATGTGGTAAACAGTCATATTCAAGTAGGATAAAATTCCGTTATGTTTCATTACTTATTGCAGTTGATATTTTTATCATGGTGGTCAAAAAATAAATTTTAACCAATATTTCCTATCTAGAGTGGAAAATAATGTTTTGACACAAGCTTCATCGGTGAAATCAAAATTGGAGAACTGTTGGAAACTGCCAAAAACTCTGAAGGCTGATTCCCTAGTTAGTACTAACCTAAAAACAACTGCGCCTCGATTTTCTAACAGAGTGGCCGTGTCAGTGCTACTTCCAGTTAACTGGAAGTTAGGGATTCAGTGGACAAATTTGATTCACCAAGCGAAAAATATACAACTGGAATCCTCCACTCCAGCTGATCCCTACTGATCCAATACAGCTATTTAGCTCTAGTATAACGAACAGCACTCTATTTTTCGCTTATTTAGTAATATTTTAAAAACAGCTCTAAATAAAATAATCTATATATCTATGTTCCATCTATATATCTATATATACTTAGAACAGTTAGGATTTTCTTTGCTACATCCCCTTTCTAGTCATTCCAATAAACAGATTTTTACGATTAACGTGTCATTTTAAAACTTATGATAGAGCGCACCTGCAAATGGTAATTAAAAGGGTCATTTCCTTTAGGGATTCGCGGGATTCGCCCTTAATCAACTGTGACCTGATTGAGGAAGGTACTTATTACTCTTTATAGTTTAGATATAAAAGCAACAAACCTATTACAAATTGGTAGTTCTACTCATACAATGACTATTCTAATCAATCGTAATCCTGAAAAGTCTAATATTGGTATTGCACTGGATACATTTTGCCTCGTAAACTAGTTTCCGGCTCTATTGAACTGCGCATTTTGTGCACGGGTAGCCTCGTTAGGCTTAACACTTCATATTTTTCCAGATGGATTTTTATCTTCTACTCTACTGAAAGGTAACGTGTCATTCGTCCATGGATCTGAATGTGTCAGAAGATACAGAGTTGCCAACCGCACCGTGGATACGAAGACGACTATTTGCACGAATAGTTCCAATGGGACAACCGTATGTTCGGTAAGTATTGTTAAATATAACACTATGTCACTAAGTAGGAAACTCATTAGTTTGACGCTATCCGCTCTTCAGTCTCCGACGTCTTCCGTCAAAATTGCTATGCAAGGCTTTGAATGAACTGTAACCCATTTTCCCGCTTGGATTCTGTCCATTCCGTCTCCGTCTGGTCGACATTGCTCTCTGGGCTATCCGCTCTTCAGTCTCCGACGTCTTCCGTCAAAATTGCTATGCAAGGCTTTGAATGAACTGTAACCCATTTTCCCGCTTGGATTCTGTCCATTCCGTCTCCGTCTGGTCGACATTGACCAGGACGTTGGTCGTTGGTTGACGGACGTTGGGTCAGATGTTTCTCCAGTCTGCGTGCACCAGCCTAGTTTATACACTGTCAAGCTTCGTGTGTGACATTAGTGCAGACGACCTTTTGATTGAAGCAGTTTGGGACTACCCCTTTCTTTATACAGCAAGTGATAAAAGTTATCAGGATAACATGACCTCACGAAAGTTGCTATGTCTCGCTGGAAATTTCAATAAGTAAAGCAACTCTTAAAACCTAACTTGAGACATGCTAAAGTATGAAAAATCGTACATATTTTATCGTCACAAAATTATGAAATTTGCCGTACATATTTTATCGCCAAACAAATTATGAAATTTGCCGTACTCATTTCTTCTTTTGAATATGGGATGTACCCAGAACCTATGCCCTTCGTTTTCGTTTGTCATCTCCAGCACACAACGCTGCTGCCACAACCTCGTCCGAAGAACTTTCCATTTTCCATGGCTACTGGTGCATTTCTCGTCTTACTGACGGATCCCGACTGACCAATGGGTTATTCTCTTTAAAGGGCGGAAAGCGCCAGACCAAGACGGAGACTGGAAGGAACAAAAAGCGTCGGACTAGTAGGTTTCCTGCTAGCAATATGCGAGCGACTGCCCCTCAACACCAGATAGTTCTCGCTCACACACAAAGGCTGGAGATTCCCAAATATTTGAGGAATGTAGCATTTCAGGTTTACCCCCCTCCCCCCATCAACTGCTGCAAGTACAGGCTACATCAATATATGTACAGTCAGGTCGGGGTGACGTCATCAAATCTCATATATGACTATGTTACAGGGAGACTCTGGGGGGCTGCTGCAGTACAGGCTGGACCAATGTATGTACAGTCAGGTCGGAGTGACGTCATCAAGTCTCATATATGACTATGTTACAGGGAGACTCCGGGGGGCCACTGCAGTACAGGCTGGACCAATGTAGCCTATGTACAGTCAGGTCGGGTGACGTCATCAAGTCTCATATATGACTATGTTTCAGGGAGACTCCGGGGGGCCGCTGCAGTACAGGCTGGACCAATGTAGCCTATGTACAGTCAGGTCGGAGTGACGTCATCAAGTCTCATATATGACTATGTTACAGGGAGACTCCGGGGGGCCACTGCAGTACAGGCTGGACCAATGTAGCCTATGTACAGTCAGGTCGGGTGACGTCATCAAGTCTCATATATGACTATGTTACAGGGAGACTCCGGGGGGCCGCTGCAGTACAGGCTGGACCGATGTATGTACAGTCAGGTCGGGGTGACGTCATTAGGTGCAAATTTCTGTACTGTCGATCGCTACCCTGCCATATATACTAGAGTTTCCCACTACATCGATTGGATAGAGAGCGTCGTCTGGCCTTAACACTCAACTTGACACATGCAATAGCTTAACAAACGATCTCATGGTACATTTTTTGCTAGACAAATTTGACTTTTTATTTTTTACCTACCTATTTATAATTATTGACTTAATCTTATGTATGACTTTAATTTTACAGCAAATACGAATAATAGACGTTCATAAGTAGCTGTTGTGGGAAGTGTCAAATTATGAATCAAATAGTCAACACTCATTTTATCATGGAACTTTTTATTTCCTGTCCAGTATGCGAATCAAAGCTAGGACGAAGCAAATTTTCAATCTCTCTGCACCGTTCATCCATTTTTCAAGAGAGATGTTTTCATAATTGGCGTATGATTAAATTACGTGAGTAGTCAGTCTAGATCGTAGTCAATAATCATAGATTTCTATTGTTTATGTTTTCATTAAAATCAATTCAAAGTGAACATTTAAATATTCAATATTTAATCGCGACTTTTGCATTATGTACCATATAAAAATACAAACTTTAAAGTTTCTTGTTATTGGCATTAGGCTCAATCTTGAACTACCGGTATTCATATTTTTTGAACTTGTACCGACGTTATTCTCGTTGCCAGTTTATAACACTACTTAAAACAACGATTAAGTTGTTGGTGTAAGAAGTACATGGTTGTCCAGGGCAGAATTTCAAACCGAACAGTAACCATTGCATTAATGTACCCAATTCCAATTCATTCTGGAATATATTTGCATTCAATATCAAATTGCATTTAATTCCATTATATCTTACATTTAGGTGAATATATTTGTTTATTGGAAAGGTTCAACCTCAAACCATTGTCCTGTAGAAACTAAACACGTATGGCAATTGGTCCACAACATATAAACGTTGAACACATGAAATGGGCGCATCTTGGTACATGTAAGTCTATAGTTTGTTCAAATAACGAAGACGGTGTGGGATGAAATCTACCTCAATGATTGTATTCAGTGGCCGCCCACTCCACCCCACCTCTGAGCGCCTTCGTCATTTTAACAAACTATAGTCATTGTATTTGCCCTCATTATGTCCCATCTGGTGCGATCCAAATACCTAAAAATGCCTGTTCAAACTTATAAAACAATGACTCAATAGTGACATGTATTGCTAAAATTATGAATCAGCAACAAGAAATTATTTATAATTTATAAAAATAATCAGGTCAAACGAAAAAGTGAAAGTTAAACATATTAAAATGCTTTAACTCAGTTCAGAGAATTACTTCAGGTGTGGTGTTTCCATCCCTAACAAGTAACGCCACCGTGATCTTTGGAGTCTTTTTTACAATTTTGATGGTTCCAATATTAGTAATGTACATTTTAATCCATTAGGTTGCAAAAAGTTAATTGCGTATTTAGATGACAGAAAACATAAATATACACAAAATAGAAGCAAATTCCAAAAATAAAGCAATCACTGAAACACTGTTCTACTAATTTAACAACTAACACTTATTTTATTAGTGACTCTTGGATAGTCAAATCTTACATTTAGGAATTTGTAATTTTATCAGTCAAATGCAGCCAGGCATCATATGCAATTGTTTATAGCAGACTTCAACATACTATTGGTTAATAAATACTAATTCGATACAAAACTATATACAAATTGGAGGTATTTAAGAAGAATCTGGTTTGATGATACTAACGTAAGATAAAGGTGACTTTTTGATATCTTCAAAGTTGATGATATAAAAATGTGATCTACATACTGCTAAACAAACACAAGTCAAGTCAACATATTCGTTGTATTATAAATTCAAAGCTGAAGGCTTATTATTAACCAAATCATTAGTTATTTCGATATAAAGCTAAAAACCCCTGGATTTCATCCAAAATTATTACGTTAAAGCATTGATTCTCATGATATATAGTCAATTGATATAGTATATTTTCTTGAAAAATAACAGATAACTTCCATACATAGATAGTAAAACAAATCGGCTCAGAGTAGGAATTACTTCCTTGACTGATTCACTTTGGTCGTATTGAGGTCATAACTTAGATTCAATGGGCTCGCAGAAGTGGAAGATATCCAGGGTTGAGGATATACCGAAATGTTACCTCATTGGAAACTGCAGTAATAGTATGGAATAGTCAGGTGAAATATAAAGTACTGATAACGTACATTGCTACGAACCGTACGCTTTTGGATACCCAAGTAGATATACAGAATGTTTGAAAAAGATTGGGACATAGTTTACATACGGATTCCTTCGGTCAAAATAAAGAGAAAATCAAGAATAAAACTTTTTTACAAAATTGCTCCGTTTGCCAGATATCCGCCATTTTGTATTTTTACATAAACATGTTTAGGCCTACCTTTGAATTTTTTCAACCAATCTATATAAATAAAATTAGAGTTTTGTCTGTACATTGCTCAGAATTATATACTTTTAGGTTATTTTTACGTTTTATACATTAAAGAAGCAGAAACGAGTCTTATCTCAATTTCTGTCTGTCTGTCTGTCTGTCTGTCTGTCCCTTTGTCTGTAACACTCAAGATGGCATTTTACGCAATCTTCTCCGTGAAAACCAGAGTACATCACAAGATCCAAGTCATTTTAATGTATTCACTGGATTGGCGAGAGTGTCTTTAGTGATTTAAATATAGCCTCACTACTTTGTAAATAAAATTACGGACGTTCAAAAATGCAGTTTTGTGCGATTTTTGTCAAATTTTCGTTCAATTTTTATCAGATAATCGTCTATGAAATAACGAACAGCTGTTCGGATCAAGATTATTTTTTCTAGCTGTCAATGACATGTTTACAAATGTTGTTTACAAATACCGCAACTATTTCGAATCACGTTTTGAAAGCAAATCCCAACCAAGTGAGATTAAAAACGTTTTTCTTACATAACGGATTTAATTAATCGCAAGTGCAATAATATAGTCTAATAGTGTAACCGTAAATGAAATTAAATAACTAGACATCGTCCAAATCGGAACCAGAAATTCTTTGAGTATAAAATGTTTCTTGAGTTTTGACAACCAGAAAGAAGAAGACCTTGAATCAGTGTTGTATAGGGCTGTGACACTGAAATGATCGTCGCCAATAGTTTACAAAAAAGGTTTCCACTCATTGACGGCGCTTCAATGGCGGTTGTGTAAAGTGTAAAGTAAAAAATCACAACTGCAGTGGGTGATTGTAACAGAGGTTTAACAGAGGAAGTGCTAAACTCGCTTTTCCAATGATATACTCTACTATCAAATGTCACTTTCTGTTTCTACTCACCGTGTGATGCAATCCCTGGACCATACAGCCAATAGGCCCATAGTTCATATCTTGGGTACGTAAGCCTACATATTTATTCATAACAACCTTTTTGACGACGATCCTTGATACCGGTACTTTTCCATAGAATACATGGCCTACCTACTTAAAAAATAAAATTACAAATGACCAAAACCCCAACATTGTGTAATTTTCGTCACATTTCCTTCTAATGTTAATAGATATACTAATCATTGTTTAGAGAATGCGTAATCTATTTTATAACAAAAAGTTGTTTGGGTAAGGTTGCTTTTTTTCAAACTGACACCGATAAGTTTACGCTATAACTTTTTACGAGAAAATCCAAAAGCAAGAGATCAATAACCTCAGGACTAGATATTAATGTATTTAATTGGTCCGATTTACTATAGTTCTTAGGTAGGTTCTTACGTAGGTACTGGTTCTTTTCCTTAGAACCGGTAGTTTACAAATTTGATATCGTTGGTGTTGCACCTTATTTATTAGAGCCGTCCGTATTCAATTTAAGTGATGTCTTAACTCTGTATAAGTTTTGCTTTTTCTGTCTGGATTCCAAATCTTAGCTTACCCGGTATGCTAAGAAAATGATAACCTATTTGGAGTAAAACATTTGTTGGGCAAACCATCATGAATTGTTTACGCCTTTATATTGTTTATGTATCAATAGTTCGTGGCCTTTGTTGGATTGTTGTATTGTGTTGTTTTGTTGTAGGCCTATGTTGGTAACGCATTAATGTCCTTATTTCTCAGTGTTTCACGGAATGGACAAGAGCACCTTTGATACTGAAAATGTCAACCGGAATAAAGTGTTAAATGGTGAGGTTGAGGTAGTACTTTAAATACGTCCGATGTGGAAAGTAACTTTCAATTTATAGGCCTACTTTAGGGCTACGCTTCATGGATCTATAAAACATTTTTTAGTTTAATCATTGGACATATGGACCAACACGATCCGGGTGACATTTAATTGCGAAGCATTTATTTTGGCTTGAACTGTCAGATACTGTATTTGCGAAGGTTTATATATAATAGTTTTGCCAGCATATCTGCAAATATGCAAACTAATTGCTGTTCTTAATCTTAATATAAGAAGGTTTCAACTGACTACTATAAGATCCCCGTGCGTAGAACGGGCACACAGCTAGTCTTTATGAAACTTAGTATGTATGTTAAGGTGGAAGAGACCCGTGTTAGAAAAAAATAATCTTATTCGACTTTAATTACAAACTGGCAGCCATTTAATATTTTTCAACTTAAATTACATGAAAATGGCTTGTTTTATGAAAAATGTCAAGAACACTTTTATTTAGCATTTTTATTCATCTATCAAAAGATACCAAGTTCAAAAAGATCGAATGGGAAATAGCTGAAATATTACGATTTTGTGTTGTAAAATGGGGCAAACCTAACTAGCTTCTGCCTTGTTCTACCCCATTTTACAACTAAACATGCAACCAGACACAAACACAGACTTTGAAAATCACTTTTTTTGGTCTAGAGGGAACCCAAAACGGATATAGCCACACAAAACTCGAACTCGGAAATTTTTACGAAACAATAAATACTTTCCATATACTATGGCATAGAGAGAGGAATTAAAACATAGGCTATAAAAAATATATATCCTTCAATCAGGCAAATTGACTTTTCCTTAGTCTGCAGGTTTACTGCAGTGGGTGTATTTAACTTTTTTAAACCCCACTTGGTTGAGCTTTCATTTATTCCTTGTACAAGTAATTATGGAGGAGAGAAGCTTAAACGATAACTCTAGTCTTTAATGGTCGACTTACTTCATCAAGTTTCTGCATTATAAATTGTCTCTGCATCGTTAAAAAACCCGAGGGTTTATATTATTTGTGCCCGAACAAACCATTTATGGCTATTAATTAATTATAGTTATATGATACATTTTTAACCCCGTATTTATGTATACGTTGAGGTTTTATAGCAAACACAAATAATGTTATTGATGAATTTTTATAATTGCCTTAAATTCCTTTGCAATTTTTAATTTATAAAATCACTCAAATGTTACTGTCCAAGAAATAACTGTTGCAAATTTCTAAGTTATTGAAACTCTATTTATGTATTTTGGCTTTTTCTGTAAATC